CATAAAACGACATTGTAACATATCAGAGGCCCTGGCCAATGTTTTTGCCCTATCGCCTAAGCCTGGGGGCCCCCATTTGGGTTGGGGGCCCCCGGGTTCACCCGGTCTGAGCCCATAGTAGTTACGCCACTGAATTGTGCAGATGTTTATATAAAATTGCAATTTTATGCATCGGCATGTATCAACTTCCGTCAAAATACGCGGGCGTATATTTAGCTTTGTGCGAGGCTTTGTGTATTGTTTGCAGGGCGTAACATAAATGCCATGCCAAAATATTGTATAACTATTCTTGGTGTAATCAGTGCTTTATCATTCAGCTATAATATTCACTGATATATATAAATATATCTTTATTGAATCAGCGAATATATGTTTGTCATATTGTATTAAACAAGCATGGGCACATGTCTTGGCCATCCAAGGTGTGTCATCATGCCCTTTGACCCGCTATAATTCGCAAAACCTTTCATTTGAAGGGTTAAATCATATTAATGGTGATAGTAGACATAGTGAAAGTACAAGTGAAATCCATCAGGGCATGTTGCAGTTTACTGGGTTAATAAGAGTCTGAATGTCAAAATCATCATTTATCTAGGTGATACTGGTATTGGTCAACCAAGGTTTACGTATATTGAACGCTATCTTGTGAAAATCGTCTATGGAAAGGGAGAAAACAGAACTCTCTATATATGCTGCAAAACACGTTTCCCGCAAGACCATGTTCTGGCAAAATTCAGTTGTGGAGTACTATCGAAGTCGATGTGTCCGCAGTTCAAGATCTTTTCCAGGTGTAAAACAAGGGGTCAGCAGGTTTATTGTGAGGCGAATGGTGTTCATAATAGAGTAACATTAGAAGCATATGTTGCTTGGTTTGATGGGAACACAACTGTACCATTGAGCGATGTTGCCACCTATGTCACCAATCAGTCGGGTATGTCACTGTGAGATATTAGTTCACCTTTAGTATAAGCTACATGTTCTGTTGTCCAGTGTAGGTAGTATTCTACAATAAATTGCCATGGTTTGTGTCTGAACTACCTGGGTATAGTATTCTACAATAGACTGCTGCGATTTGACTGTGGTAATGTGTAGCAATACAGTTAGAATATCAAAGATTTAAATAAGAATTACTGTAGTTTGTGAAAGGGTGAATGGTTAGGATTTAGTGATAATTCATATTACTCTAGGTTTGGATTGGGATTAAGATTAAGATTAGGATTAATGGATTATGTTGATGTTGTTGCTTCATTTCTAAATATTTTCTCTATTTGTTTTCAGAAATTGTTCCCAAATCAGTTTCTGATGTAAAGATAGCCACAAATTCACAACAAGGCTTGGAGATACGCTGGACAAAATATGAATACTTTTACATCGATGCCGAAAAATATGAATATCTAATTGATTGTCAACCTCGTGAGAATCAAAGGGCTAAAGTAAATTATTTTATTAGCATGACTATACTCTTTTCATGTAATTCAACCAGGACTATTTAGGGCAGTGTAAATATGAATACATTAATATATATATTAATTTTGTTTAGGTAAAACAGTTTAGAACTTATAGAACTATCCTGTATAAATAAAGTTACTGTAGTTTAGTTTAGTTTAGTTTAGGTTTCCTCCTATAGTAACGTACTGGATCAATAAGAGATGATCCTTATTGGACCTCTAGGAAGAACTGTTTAGAACTGATGAAGCTATCCAGTATAAATAAAGTTAGTTTAGTTTAGGTTTCCTCCTGTACTAACACTGGAACAATAAGAGATGATCCTTACTGGACCTCTAGGAAGAACAGTTTAGAACTGATAGAGCTATCCAGTATAAGAAAGTTACATGTAGTTTAGTTTAGTTTAGGTTTCCTCCTGTGGTATTACACTGGGTGGATAAGTGATGGTCCTTACTCATGGGCCTAATTGACACTGCATGATATATTCAGTATTTATTTATCTGTTCAGGCTTTTCGTAAGAGTGTGGGGATCACAGATTCTTTCTTGGTGACAGACTCAAAGAATATAACAGCTGTCTGCAAGTATAGATGTTGTGTTCAGGTGGTGAATTTGGTTAACAGTCAACCTTCTGAACCAACTTGTCGAAATATCACCACGTCAGAACAAGGTTCGTAAGTAATTCATTGTTCTTGAAATACATGTTCCTCTGTTTTTGATTCCCCCAACTTTGAATTGTGAAGGCGAATAGAACTGAACGATGTGGAACGTGAAAAAGTTTTGAACGTATATGGAACTGGCACGCAGTATTCAATGATTTCTGAACAGTATACTGTAGATCAAATGACTGTGTAATAGCTCTCACTGGTATTGTTGAAATTCTAAAAGCATTGTAATTTGTGAGTAATTTCTTATAGCTCCCAGTGCTGGTCCTGTCATCAGCTGTGCGAATGGCACAGTCCCATGCCCTTCTGTAATTAAAGGAACGAAACGAAATATCACAATTCCATTTGAGGTATGAAAAATTTAATGTTTACAGTTATAATATTCCATTGTACCACTCGAAACATTAACCATTTTTGAACGGTCACTCCAAGACATATAATTATGTTTGCATCTACATCTAGTTGCCAAGCCCGGAACACCAAAATGGCAAGATAATTAGTCATGAAGTGTACTACAGAAGCGTGGTTTCCAGGAATTTCACAAAACTTGTGATCAATGGCTCACAGACTGAAGCAGTGATCATGGATGCGGAGACTGGGATGAGTTACTATGTATTCATGAAGTCCTGTACAGAAATTGGTTGCAGTCCTATCAGTAACACTATCCGTATTCCAGCTGTTAGCTTATATCAGAGTGAGCAATAGTTGTTAAACTTAACTAAAATCATGCTAGCCCGTGTGCAGGCCCCTGCACGCAGGCTAAAATCATGCAGGCTAAAATCATGCAGACTAACCCTAACAACAATGACAACAAACAACTACCTAAGATTTTCATACGACTTCCATACATACAGTAGGCAAACGTGGTACAGACCTTATACAAAACTTCAGAACTAAAATGCCATGATGACTTTTAGGCACTCCATGCAACATAATTATTTACTGGGACACATTATGACAACAAGCTGCTTTGTTTCATGTATTAGGACAAAACACCTAAGGAATTTCAGAATTCTATTGTTTATAAACTATACAGTATGTACTGTAACTTTATTTATACTGGATAGCTCTATCAGTTCTAAACTGTTCTCCCTAGAGGTACAGTAAGGATCGTTTTTTATACATACAGTGTTACTACAGGAGGAAACCTAAACTAACTTTATTTATACTGGATAGCTCTATCAGTTCTAAACTGTTCTCCCTAGAGGTCCAGTAAGGATTGTCTCCTATTGATTCAGTGTTTAACTACAGGAGAAAACTTCTGATCAGTACCTAGTCCTGGAGAAAACCTGCGATGTTTGGTAGGGTTGAGTTAAATTATGATCAAACAACTGTATATTGCAGGAATGAAATGCAGAAGGCTTCAAAACTACTTTGAAGTTGTCGATGTTCGATACCTCATAATTAATAAATGTTTGTTGTTTTACTGTATTTAGAAGCTCAACACACTTTTGTTACACTCGCTGTCCCAGTCGGCATAACTGTCGTGGTTGTCGTTATCCTGGTGGCTATCGGGTGTTTTTTCAGAAGGTAAATCTTGTTTTCATGACATTGTCACAGGAGCTGCACTCGTGAGCATATACTATAATTTAGAGCTGGAAATGATGCTGTTGATTTTTCAATTTTTAGACAGTACCAGCACCGAAGGCAGAAAACGCTTCCAACACTGAATC